GCCTCAGCAGCCTCAGTCTAGCTGCAGCCTCGCCTCAGCCTCAGCCTGCCCACGTCCTCAGCCAGCCTCAGCATCAGCCTCACCTCCAGCCTCAGCGAACCTCAGAATCCAGCCTGCCTCAGCCTCAGCCTCAGCCTGCCTCAGCCTCAGCCTGCCTCAGCCTCAGCCTCAGCCTGCTTCAGCCTCAGCATCAGTCTGCCTTCAGCCTCGGACTCAGCCTCAGCCTGCCTCAGCCTCACCCTGCATGAGCCTCAGCCTCAGCCTCAGCCTGCCTCAGCCTCAGCCTCAGCCTGCCTCTGCCTCAGCCTCAGCCTGCTTCAGCCTCAGCCTCAGTCTGCCGTCGGCCTCGGCCTCAGCCTCAGCCTTCAGCCGCCTCAGCCACAGCCTCAGATATCAGCCTGCCCTCAGCCTCAGGCCTGCCTCAGCCATCAGCCTCACCCCTGTGCCTCAGCTCATCCTCGGCCTGCTTACAGCCCCCTCAGCTCAGCCTGTGCCTCAGGCCTCGGCCTCAGCCATCAGCCCTGCCTCAAATCCTCAGCCTCCTCAGCTCAGACCTCAGCATCAGCCGGCCTCAGCGCCCTCAGCCTCAGCGCCTCAATCAGCCTCATCAGCCTCAGCCTGCTTCAGCGCCATGCCTCAGCCTGAGCTTGCACACACACATCACAGCCTCTCAACTGTCCCCTGAGCAGCCCATGCATCAGCATCATCCTGCCTCAAGCCTCAGCCTCAGCCTGCCTCAGCCTAGCCTCAGCCTCAGCCTCAGCCTCAGTCTGCCTTCAGGCCTCAGCCTTCAGCCTCAGCCTGCCTTAGCCTCCGCCTGCATCATCAGCATCGCATCAGCCGCATCATTCAAGCCTCAGCTCATCCCCCTTGCAATCAGCCTCAGCCTCAGCCTCAGCCTCAGCCTGAGCCTAAGTCTGCCTTCAGCCGTCGGCCCTCAGCCTCAGCCATCTGCTCAGCCTCAGCCGGCATCCGCCTCAGCCTCGCCTCAGCCTGCCTCAGCCTCAGCCTGCCTCGCCTGCCTCAACCTGCCTCAGCCTCAGCCTCAAAGACTCAGCCTCAGCCTCAGTCCTGCCTCCAGTCCTCGGCCTCCAGCCTCACCTGCCGCACAGCCTCACTCCTCAGCCTGCTCAACAGTCAAAAATGTGTCCAAGAAATGGAGTTCTGGGAATCGAAGAAGAGCACGAAGTTTGCCTACAGTTGGCTCCGGCCATTCGAACTCTGCCACAGGCCGGGAATGAGGTTCTGGAAACTCGAAGAACACCGCACGAAGTGGCCCACAGATTGCCTTCCGGGCATTCAAAATCATGCCCAGGGATGGAGTTCTGGGAACTCGAAGACCACGAAGTGGCCTACAGTTGGCTCCGGGCATTCAAAATCATGCCCAGGAATGGAGTTCTGGGAACTCGAAGACCACGAAGTGCGTTACTGTTGGCGGAAAAAGTCCCCGGTTTCCCCCGGCATCCCCCGGATCCTCCCCAGACCCCCTTGGGGAATCAGGATGCTCTCTTTTGACCCCACTAGAAACCTATCAGTCTTCGCTGTTAGGTAACAATGCTCAAACATAGTCAAACATCCCCAGACTTCTTTAGACATATTGTTGAGCATTCCTCCTGTAGACAGGCCTGACTTAAGCCCACCGGCCTCCACGGGGGCAGGTAATGGGAGGGCCAGCGCGTCCAGCCAGGCGCCGCGTCGTGGCCGTCGCTGCCGCAGTTTTCGGAGAGCCCCCGCTTCACGCAGCGCTCCAGGAGCTGGTAGGGCCCGCACACCTCGCAGAGGTCGTTCGTCACAGCGTCCGCTGGGCTGCCCATCGCCTGACACCCACCCAGGACCTCTGGCGGGTGGCTTCTGGCTCCCGATCCCCGAGTGTTTCCGATACTCTGGCGCGCGTGCATGCTGTTTTGGTTAGTTCCTCCCAGAACAACGAGTGAAATATCCAGGATGTTCCCCAAACAGTGCTTGCATTTAGGGGTTCCTTCCCTCTTTTATGGACTGGCCCCGAATGCCCGTCTGGCGGCTCCGTGCTCGACGTCGCCACCCTGCCGCCGCCAATGATTGCACCGCATACATAAATAGGTATACGCACATGTGTGTATATATATAGACACGTATTGATCGCACAAGATAGATTGCACAACAGAGAGCGCACCACACATAATTATTGCACAACTGAGATTGCACAACGTTAACTGCACCACATAGATTGCATAACATAGAACGCACCACATAGATGATTAATCGCACCACGTTGATTGCACGCCACAGATTAGACCACATTGATTGCACCATTTCACCTGCACCACACAAGTTGCACCACATCGACTGCACAAGCCACACTGCACAGCACGGACTGCACCACGCAGGTGGCACAACACAGAGTGCACCACGCATAGTTACTGCGTCATATATATATGTGTATATATATATATATATATTGCTAGAAACACACCTTTTAGGGTGCACGCTGGCTAACGTTTCAAACATGGCTAGAGGGCTGGGGTATGGAGATCTGGGGATCAGAAACTGAAACACACTCAAGCCGCCAGATGTCCGGGCGGGCGACGCCGAAGCCCCCGACGGTCGGCTCCTGCCACGCCGTCGGGCCTGTGGACCCTCACGGGTCCATCCGCCTCGGGAACGGGCCGAACAAAAAGTCGGCTCGCGATTTGTGTCACGACGCCATCTGCTTCACAACGGCATCGGAAGTCGCGGCTGCCTCGAGCCGCTCCATGTTGCCGGCCGCCGGCTTGTTCGCCTCCCACACCGCGACGTGGTCTGGGCCGTCGCAGGGGCCGAGGTCGTACGCGAACCTCTCGTCGGAGCAGGGCATGCGGCGCACGCAGTGCCCCGTCGTCTTCGAGACCAGGTGCCCCGCCCACGACAGTGCGAAGGCCTGCGCCTCTCGAGGAACAACCACTGCATGAACGTGTAAACGGTCGGCGGTCCGCGCGGGTTGCAGGGATCGGCGCCATGGGCCCCCTCGGCGGCGCCGGAGGCGTTGCCGGGAGCGCAGGTCCAAGCAACTCGCGCGGAACTCCCGACGTTTATGCCGCTTATTTTGAGGGACGAGAAAACGACCCTACCCTGGGTTACAAGTGCGTGGTCTGTAAACCTCCTGGGAACCCCCAAAGCCTAGAGCCGCCAGGACGCGGCACATCACGCAGGGTTTACCCTGTCAGCCCACAGGAGTTTCAGCGCACAGCGCCTCGTAAACCAGGGTAGGGGCGTTTTGTTATGCCCTTGATTATTCCTCCTCGAGCCTCCTGGACCTGCGGGTCGAGGAGGTGAAAGGGCATCGGGCTGACCCGATCGGTGTCTGGGTCCACGGCCAGGGCGCCAATGAACTGCTCCTTCGGGGGTGGACAGAGATCCCTTTCGCATTCGGTCGGGCGTGTCCTCCTACAGGCGCATCTTGGGCAACAAATGAAAAAGAGTCAAAAAGTATGCAATCATAGTCGAACAATCATCGAACAATATTCCCCCGACTCTTTCTGGACTATTTTTGAGTGCCCCTCCTGTAATGCGGGATGACGATTAGTAAAAAAAATGGGAGAGAACGATTAAACAAATAGTTGTCTGCTGTTTCTGCACAAGTTTATGACTGGAGGAGAACGGTAAAAAAGAATAGTTTTCCAGCCCGCGGCCGGTTTTTTCTAATCGTCATCCGGGGCGCCGCCGCGTGAACCCGACCCCCGGTCATTTACTAATCGTCATCCTCCATTAGAGGGGCATGCCCAACTTCACCCTTCCGCAAAACGCCCTCCAGTGGAAACTGCCAAGGGCACTCCACGTGCGCGCGGCACCGCATGCACGGGTGAACCTGGGCGGGGCAGCGGAGCCACGTCCAAAAACAGCCTTCAGCCTTAGGTCGGGCAGGTCCTCCCACAGGCCGTTTTTGGCAGAAACATCAAATAGCCAAACATTGAGGGATGAAAAAACGGCCCTACCCTGGGTTACAAGTGCGTGGTCTGTAAACCTCCTGGGACCCCCCAAAGCCTAGAGCCGCCAGGACGCGGCACATCACGCAGGGTTTACCCTGTCAGCCCACAGGAGTTTCAGCGCACAGCGCCTCGTAAACCAGGGTAGGGGCGCTTTTCAACAATATTCCAAAAATGACAGAACATCGTCCCCATACTATTGCCGGACTATTTCGGAAGATTCCTCCTGCAGAGGGACATGCCCGCCTTAAAAACAGCCGACTGTGTCTGGCGAGACGAACGCCGATTCGCGAAGCCGACTGCGGACTGCACCCGTAAACTCGAGCGCGACCGGCGAGGAAACCGGTGCAGATTTCCTGTCGACTCTGTCCGGGCGCCGGAAAGCTCAGAGTCGAATCGAGATTTTTTTTCTTTCTTGGGGCAATAGCTGTGCAACGGCACAATGAAACTGTCACGGAATACATCTTGGAGGTGGTGACCATGTCGAAAAGTCAGAAGAACAGTTGAATGCCTGAAGTGATCCAGACAGTGCTCGTGTCTCCAGACGAGGAAGGAGGACGGAGGGAATACTATAATGATCGAGAAGTCGGATCGGCGATCGAAAGGAACCGGACCGGCGGAAAAATCGGCAGCCGAGCCGGCAGACGTCGAGCCGGCGGAGATGGGCAGGCCATCATCGGGCCTGCGTGGAGAGAGCGGGGGGGCCGAAGCGGAGTCCCCAGTCGAAGCCGAAGCGGGAGCGGAAGCCATCGACGTGGAAGCCGCATCGGGATCGGGGAAGTCGAGGAGGAGGAGGAGGAGGAGGAGGAGGAGGAGGAGGACGCGGAGGAGGAGGAGGAGGAACAAAAAGGAAGAGGAGGCGGAGCGGAAAAGGAGCCCAGCTGGGCGGGCGTTCTCGCGGCGCCCCGGGCTCCTGGCAGGTCTGCCAGTGCAGCGACGTGCCCCCGAGGCGGTCCTGCGCGCCCGCGGTGAGGCACAGCGCGTCCTCCAGGTCGAGGGGCGACCGCGGCTGCAGCACCCCGGACTTCTGCAGCCCCACGCGCTGCACCATGTAGAAGGTCATGCCTGAGGCCGGAGGGGGAGAAGCCTCCTCCTCCTCCTCCTCCTTCTCCTCCTCCTCCTTCTTCTCCTCCTCCTCCTCCTCCTCCTCCTTCTCCTCCTCCTCCTCCTCCTCCTCCTCCTCCTCCTTCTCCTCCTCCTCCTACCCATGCCGCCGCCCCTGGCTTGTTGTCACCGTGCAAGTCGCCAGGTCGCACGGATACTACCACCATCACTGAAGCCAGGATCAGCTGCGCTCGGTGGAGGTACACCGAAGATATTGGTGCTGGTGCCAACCTCTAGGCCTCCGACAGGAGAGGTCTAGGGAGCAGCGGTACTGGTACCTCTTGGTTTCCTCCTGGGGGGAGCCGTACTGGCATTCCTCATGGGCCGGAGGTCCGAGGCATGCTTCTCACTCGGAGGTCCGAGGCATGCTCAAAACGAAATGGCGCTTACACCGAACATCGAAACGAAACCCAACATTGCAAACGAACGTTTCAAACGAAGCCGGTGTGAAACGAAAGCGAACGACGAAACGGGGCGCCGAAAGCAACCACAAACAGCGGAACGAAGCAGCAACGAACAACGGAACGAAAAGCAAAACAAGGGCCCAGACCAAGCCAAACTGCGCTGTGGTCGGCCCTCGGCCTTCTGACCTGTCTCATGGCAGCATCTCCCTCGGAGGTCCACGGCAAGCAACTCTCCAGAGCACCCGCCGGGCTCTCTGGAAGGTCCAGAACATCAGGCGTGCCCGTCGGGCCGCGCCTCGGACGCCCTGGCAGGCTGGGACGGTCGCGTGCATGGGGTCCGCCGGGCTTTCCTCCTCCTTATCCTCCTCCTGCTGCTGCTGCTGCTACTGCTGGTGCGCAACTTCTGGGACGCCTTGAACCCGCAACGTCCACCGCCGCAGCGCCCGCGGCCCACCGTCTTGGAGTCGAGGTGGCGGCATCCCCCCTGCACCATCGACATCCCCCCCTCATCCTCCTCCTTCTCCTCCTCCTCCTCTTCCTCCTCCTCCTCCTCCTCCTCCTCCTCCTCCTCCTCTCCTCCTCCTCCTCCGCCTCCTCCTCCTCTTCCTCTCCGCCTCCTCCTCCTCTCCTCCTCCTCCTCCTCCCCCTCCCCCTCCTCCTCCTCCGTCTCCTCCTCCTCCTCCTCCTCCTCCTCTCCTCCTCCGCCTCCTCCTCCTCCTCCTCCTCCTCCTCATCCTTTCACCTCTACCACCTTGCCATCTCCTCTGCATCATTAATCGTCCACGTCTCTCCTCCTCAGGGTGCCTCCCGGGTCCCACTGCATGCCGGACTCCGGGGGCGGCTCGTGCTGTGGCGTGGGTGGCGGCGGTGGCGCTCGGACGCAGCGGATGGAAACGTCGCGGTCGACACCGCTGTTCCAGACCTTATCCAGGAGCGCGGATCTCGATCCCTGGCCTCAAATCATGCCTGGTCGACCAGCCCATGGAGGCCCCCCGCTCCGCAGGCAAAGACGGAGGGCATGAGGCGCTGCGGCAGCAGAGCGCGCCATCGAAAGAGAGAATTGGTGGGCAGGGCAACGCGACAGGAAACCTACCTTCATGCGTCATGCGTGCCACCGAGGACTGCATCTCCTAACCCCAGACATGCGACGTCCTGATTTTCGTCAAAACTGCGTCCCTGGAAATCCGGACGCTCTACCAATGTTTCAGCCTGCGTCGTTTTTTCACGGTCCCGGGGCCTGGCGAGGCCCTCCAGAGGCTGAGAACGGCGAAACACCTCCGCCCTGATTTTTCCTACGACGCGAGCACGTCTGGGACCTCAGCTAGGGGAGACGCTCCTGGCTCCAGGGCCCCCAAAACTTGATCAAAAAACCGAGCGTCCCGGCATTCCTATAGTCATACCACGAAATGTTCCTAGAACCCAAGAGTGTTCGAAGAACGAAAACAATGTTCTTAGAAGATAAATCCGATGCGTCAAAACAAGACAGTCCCAGCCAGAAATGTTCTAAGAACATTTCGTGGGAAACACGCAAGATTCTTAGAACATTGCTTGGTGGGGCTATAGGCGAGCCGGGACGCTTCGCCACTGCTTGACAAACACGGGGACGCTTTGCGAAGCCAGGGCGGCGGCGCACCCCGAGAGAGCTGCAGCCGCTGGGGGCCGCGGCGCGCTCCGCCCTTCCCTCTCCCAGCGGCGCGCACGAGGGCCCGCGCCTGAGGAGCCGCCCCCCCCTCGCCCCACGATGGGCCCATGTTCCACCACCGCTACCACATGCAGGAGGAGGAGGAGGAGGAGGAGGAGGAGGAGAGGAGGAGGAGGAGGAGGAGATGAGAGGGATGAGGAGGACAGGATGAGGAGGAGTAGATGAGGAGGGGGAGGATGAGGATGTCGAGGACCTCCTCATCCTCCCCCCTCCCCCGCCCTACACATGGTAGCGGTGGTGGAAAATGTGCCGACCCGTCTGCCGGCCCCGATGGCCGCCCGATCTGCACGCCCAGGGCCCGGTCAACGGACGCGGGAGGTCGCCGCCGCGCTGCTCCCTTACGGCGATGAGGCGATGATGCGACCGGCTCGGCCGAAAGTGGCACCCGCCGCAAGGCCGCGGGCCCGAGACCACCGACATCCCCGGACCCCCAACGTCGTGTGTGTATGTGTGTTTTTGTGATGGGCAAACTTTTCCACCTCCACTACCATATGTAGGATTGGGGAGAAAGGAGGATGAGGAGGTCCTCCTCCTCCTCCTCCTCTCCTCCTACCTCCTCCTCCTCCTCCTCCTCCGCCTCCTCCTCCTCCTCCTCCTCCTCCTCCTCCTCCTCCTCCTCCTCCTCCTCCTCCTCCTCCTCCTCCTCCCTCTCCTACCTATGGTAGTGGTGGTGGAAAATGGGCCCATCACTTTTTCACAACACCGACCCCCAGAGGTCTGAAATCATGCCCCAGACCCAATTTCTCAACCTGAGTCGTTTTCTGACGGCCCCGAGGCCCGGGAGAGGCCCCCCGGAGGCCGAAAAGAGCGAACAACCGACCGTCGTGATTACTTGTCACAACGCGAGGGGGCCGAGAAGGAGGAGGAGGAGGAGGAGGAGGAGGAGGAGGAGGAGGAGGAGGAGGAGGAGGGAGGAGGAGGCGGAAGGAGAGGAGGAGGAGAGGAGGGAGGAGGAGGGAGAGGAGGAGGAGGAGAGGAGGGAGGAGGGGAGGAGGAGGAGGGAGGAGGACGGAGGAGGAGGAGGAGGAGAGAGGAGGAGGAGGAGAGGAGGGAGTAGGAAGATGATGAAAGGAGAGGAGGAGGAGGAGGGATGAGGAGAGGAGGATGAGAGGAGGTGATGAGGAAAGGAGGAGGAGGAGTCAGGAGGAGAGGAGGGGAGGGATGGAGGCGGGAGGAGAGGAGGGAGGAGGGAGGAGGAGGAGTCTGGGCACCGACATCGGGTCCGCACTCGGGCGACGCGGGCTTTGCGCAGCCGTGGCGCGCTAGGCCGGCGGGCTAGTCCCAAAGAAGTATAAAAGTAAAAGCCACACAGACATCTCACATCCCCACCAAACCACTAACGCCCCGTTCTCGGCGGGGCAGGAGCTGCGGGGCCCGGCCTTGCCCACGCCGTAGATGGCGCCGCAGTGGGGCAGCCGGGAGGTGAGCAGCCACTTGGAGCTCCACGGGTCGAACATGATGATGGTGGACCAATTTTCCACCCCTCCTCCCTCCCCCCTCCTCCGCCTCCCTCCTCCTCCTCCTCTACCTCTCCTCCTTCTCCTCCTCCTCCTCCTCCTCCTCCTCCTTCTCTTCCTCCTCCTCCTCCTCCTCCTCCTCCTCCTCTCCTCCTCCTCTTCCCATCCCTCCCTCCCTCCATCCCTCCCTCCCTCCCTCCCTCCCTCCTCCTCCTCCCTCCTCAACCTCCTCCCCTCCTCCTCCTCCTCCTCCTCCTCCGCCTCCTCCTCCTCCTCCTCCTCCTCCCTCCTCCTCCTCCCTGCTCCTCCTCACTGCTCCCTCCTCCCTCCTCCTCCTCCTCCTCCTCCTCCTCCTCCTCCTTCTCCTCCTCCTTCTCCTCTCCTCCTCCTTCTTGGCACCCTCGCGCTGTGTCAGCACGTGAGAAAAGCACGACGGTGGGTTTTTCCTATGTGGCGGCCTCCCAGGGGCCCTCCCGGCATCGGGCCGTGAAACAGCGACTCGGATGAAAAAGATGAAAAGCGGGTCTCGGGGCATGATCGAGACCTCTGAGGTCGGCGATCTGAAACCATCATGACGTCGGGGGGCCTGGGATTTTCACAACCACTACCATGGATAGGGCGGGGGAGACTGTCAGTATTGGATGTCCCTCCTCCTCCTCCTCCTCCTCCTCCTCCTCCTCCTCTTCATCCTCCTCCTCCTCCTCCTCCTCCTCCTCCTCCTCTTCCTCCTCCTCCCACCTCTCTTACCTATGGTAATGGTGGTGAAGAATCGGCCCATCAGATGACGGGCGGCGCGCCGTCCAGCGTTCCTCAAGAAGAAGAACAAATGCATACAAATAAACTTTTGACGCTCCGCGCGGATTTCTGGGATCCGCGCTGAGCCTCCCCAACGGCGCCTCCGGCGCCGCCTCTGGAGCGCTCCGCGCGCCAGGGAGGGGGTCCAGCGCAGATCCAAGACATCCCCGCGGAGTGCCGAACATTCATGTTTATGCCGTTATTTCTGCTTCTAGGTCCTGGACCTTGCAGCCGGTAGACTGTGCCGAACGCTTCGAAGGACGGGTCGATCTCATATGTCCCGCTAGCATTGGCCGCAAGGGATCCGGCGCGGAAATCGATCTTTTGGCAGCAGCCCAGCTTCGGACGCGCCGTGGTCGACAGTGGCGGCAGCGTCGTTGTGGACCGGAGCCTCCGCTCCTCTTCCTTCGTGCGCGAGGGCACCGAGGGGTATCAGAGGGGTAGCCTTCGTTGAACATCCTGGTGCCTCTCGGAGTTCACACTCTTGGACGCCAAATCCTTCTTTCTGTGTGAGACCTATACGGAGCAACATCTCCTCTTCTTATAGCTCTCCACAGGCATGCCCCACTCCCCAGACCTCCAACCCTGTTGTTTTACGACGTGAGCTCCAGACTATGTGACCCCATCCCCAAGGCATTTGTTTCGTCGCAGGTAGGTTCTTGAGGCTCCTTGAAACCAGAACTGGCATCCAGAGGCCAAACTGCAGCACAGCTGAAACAGACTTGAAACAACAACACGCCAAGCCGTATGTTTGTTCGAGACTCTGGAGGTCTTGGTCCGACTCTCCCCTGGGCGCCCGTCTGACCTTTAGGTGCTCGCAGCAGGCTCGCCGCGCGATCTCGCGCTCCTCGCGGGCTCTCCCGTCGTCCTCCGTGGTGACCCCCCTGCTCTGCCACGGCTGCACGACCTCCTGGACCTTCCGGGTGGCTCGCCCAGCAACCTGGGGCAGGCAAAGCCTCCGAGGCCTCGGCCATGCGATGGCGTCGAGCCGGAGGGGCAGGGACGGGGAGAGGGCCGAGGGGAGGGCCGCGGGAGCGGCGACCGCAATGGCGGCGGCGGCGACGACGAGGAGGACCGACTGCCGTGCAAAATCGGTGGCAGGACCCGTCCCGCCGGTCCATCCATTGGCGGCTCCTCTTTTCTCGGGTCGGCCTGGCCCCCAGGGGCTCGCACACCTCCTGGAGGTAGAGACTGGAGGCGATTTTTGTTCTTTTGGGCTCTGGCAGGTTGACTTGCATGGAGGGGGAGGGGGGAGAGGAGGGGGGGTGGGCGGCGTGGCAGGGCCCGAAGGGAAATCTAGACTTCACGCAAATCGTGACTCACTCGCCCGCCTGTTCGGCCAGGCGCTGTCTGGGAAGGAGGCGGGCGACAGGGGCAGGGGGGGGGCGACGTGCCATGCGAGTGAAATTGTCGTGCTCTACATTATAAAATCGCGGTCTTTGGGCAAACCCTGGTTGTAGGCCTCCTGGAAGGGGTCGGAGTAGATGGGGTCGCATAAGCGCGCCGCATCGCCGATGCATCTGTGATGCACCGCCGATGCATCGGGGAAGTAACGGCAACGCATCGTCGACGTCGGCGACGCATCGGCGACGTCGGCGACGCATCGGCGACGTCGACGGGAAGCAAATCGGGCTCCACATCGAGCCGCGCCGGCGATGCATCGGCGATGCGGCGCGATCCTCCGACCCCATCCCCTCCGGCCCCATATAATACAGGAGGCCTAGACTGGCCGATCGGTCCTCGGCCCGCGCGGATGTGTTGGATCTGCGCTGGACTTCCCCTCCCTGGCGCCTGTCGCCGCCAGGGGGGGGGTCAAACGCGCGGATCCGAGAACTCCGCGCGGAGCGCCGCAGGTTGCTGCTCATGGCGGCTGTTCTGCTTCCAGGGTCCTCGGTCGGTGGGCCGACCACACACAGGGTCTTCGCAGTACAGTCGGGGCGTTGACCTCAGGAACCCTAAATAAGGAACGAGGCCCCTTTTTTCCATAAGTTAAACTTCGATTCCCCATCGAAAACCTAGGGAAAACCTGAGGCAAGCTGTGAAACTATCAAGGAACACGGAGCCCCTCCCCAACGAAAAGGGTTCCTTCTTCAGGACCCCTACTGTAAACCCGCCCACCCGCCCACCGATGGGCCGGGTGGGTCTGTTCCAAGGCCGTGCCAACGGCGTGCTTGGTGAACGGTGCGGTTGGGAATCTGGTTTTTGTGACACCAAGCTCACGCAGAACAACATGTAGGCAATCAAGAACCACCGTGCCCCACACTTCAAATATGCGAATGCATCGAACGAACACGGCACAGCGAGTTGTAGGAAAGCACGAGCCACGCGATCCTACAACTGGTTTGGCCACGGACCACGCCTTCGTACAATCGATTCTCCTACATCGCCGTGAGCTAACACACCCTTCGCGCGTCCACGGTTGTTTCTCTTGTGGCGTCTATTCTTCCTGGGAAGACCCTGGTCGACGAGTCCTTGGTCGATCTTCGACCCTGGTCGATGGGTCCTCGGTGGATCTTCGACCGATCGGCGGCGGCGGCGGGCTTGTTTCTTTCGTGGCGCCTGTTCTTCCTGGGGAAGCCCCGGTCGCTGGGTCCTCGGTCGACGCTCGACCGCTCGGCGGCGGCCAGCCGGCGGGTGGCGCCAGCAGGGGGGCCCCAGGCTCAGGTCGGGCATGTCCCCGACAGGTGGATCTGGGAGGAACATAAAACATCGTTTTTTCGACTCAAGAAAAAACTCCAACAAAAGTCAAACCAGATCATAGGAGTAATCGTCCCCGGACTATTTCTTGACTGGTTTTGAATATGCCGCCTGGAAAAGGACATCATGCCCGACTTGAGCCCAGGCGCGGATCCGAGAAATCCGCGCGGAGCGCCACGCGTTTCATGCATGCCTTTGTTCCTTCTTCGGCAATTCTAAGAAGACCGCGCTTCTGATGTAGCTTATGTAAGGCTTCCATGCCCATCCAAGAGGCCTAGACTGGTCGACGGGTCCTCGGCCGATCCTCGACCGATCGGCGGCGGCCACGACGCGGCGATCGGCGAGGGCCCATGCGCGGAACTGAGAAATCCGTGCGGAGCGCCACGAGTTTATATTCATGCCGTGGTGTCTTCTGCGACAATCGGTGCTCGCTCGATCCTCGACCGATCGGCGACGGTCACGAAGATCAGTATCATCATCATCAACATCATGATCATCATCATCATCATCATCAGCAGCAGCATCATCATCATCATCATCATCATCATCATCATCATCATCATCATCATCATCATCATCGTCATCATCATCATCATCATCATCATCATCAGCATCGTCATCATCATCATCCTCATCACCATCATCACCATCATCATCATCATCATCATCATCATCATCATCATCCTCATCCTCATCATCCTCATCATCCTCATCATCATCATCCTCATCCTCCTCATCCTCATCCTCATCCTCATCCTCATCCTCCTCATCATCGTCGTCGTCACCGTCGTCGTCACCGTCGTCGTCGTCGTCGGCGGCGGCGGCGGCGTCGTCGGCCGCGGCGGCGGCGGCGGCGGCCAGCCATCGGGTGGTAGCCGCCCTCGCCGCCGGGGGGGGCGGGCGCCGGAGCGGCGGCGCCCTTGCCTGCGGCGCCGGGGGGGGGTCGACGACGACGATTCGGCGGCGAGCGAGGCTCCTCGAGAGCCTCCTCCTCCTCCTCCTCCTCCTCCTCCTCCTCCTCCTCCTCCTCCTCCTCCTCCTCCCCTCCTCCTCCTCCTTCCCGTCCCCCTCCTTCACGTCCTCCGCCTCCTCCTCCTCCTCCTCCTCCTCCTCCTCCTCCTCCTCCCTTTCATCCTCCTCCTCCTCCCTTTCATCCTCCTCGCCGGCGGTGAGCAGGTCTTCTCGGAAGCCTCGCTCCTCCTTCCCTCCTCCCGAGCCGCTCGACGATGCCGCTCCCGCGCGGCGCCGCGAGGCACAGAGTATTAAGCCTGCAGGCTGCGGCAAGGTAAAGGAGATCTCCGCCTCCTCCTCCACCGCTCCTGCTCCTGCTCCTGCTCCTGTTCCTGGTCTTCCTCCTCTTCCTCCTCCTCCTCATCCTTCTCCCCGTTCCCCTCCTTCCCGTCCTTCTTCTCCTCCTCCTCCACCTCCACCTCCTCCTCCTCCTCCTCCTCCTCCTCCTCCTCCTCCTTCTCCTCCCTTTCATCCTTCTCCTCCTCGCCAGCCGAAGTACGATTTCTTCCAGTCGGGAGCTTCGAGACGGGGGTCAATGCCCACGAGATGGGTCCAGGGTTAGGTCAAGCCTGTCCCCCCCCTGCAGGCGGAGTTTGGACGACAAGTTAAAAATAGTCATAAATAGCCCCAAATGGTCCAAGAGTCGTCCCCATATGATTTTTGGCGCCTATTTTTGAACATTCCCCCCTGAGAGGGACAGGCCCGACGTAAGTCTAGGGGTGAATCTCTTGAGCCCGAGATCCAAGTCTTCTTCCCGACGTCGGTGTTGGCGTCGTCGCCGCCGGCATTGGCGGCGTCGTCGCTATGGGGGGGAGAGGGAGGAAGGAGGAAAGACGTTGGGAAGAGACAGGGGAGACGAAGAGAGGGGGGGAGAGAAAGGGGATAGGGGGAGGGGGAGAAATAGGGGGGGAGGGGGGAAGAGAGGAGGGAGGGGGCAAGAGGGGGGATAGGTGGGGGCGCAGAATGATGAGGGAGGATGGGAGAGGACGGATGAGCACAATAAGGCGGAAGGAGGAGAAAGACGAGGAGGAGGAAGGAGCAGGATGGACGAGTGAGGACAAGGAGGAACACAAGGGCAGGATAACACAAAGGGAGCGAGGAAGGAGGGGGAGGAAAAGGAGGAGGAGGAGGGGGAGGAGGAGAAGGAGAAGGAGAAGGAGCGACCGTACCAAGAAGGAACGAGACGAGGGCAGGCGGGCAAGACGCGAGAAGAGGGCAAGAGTCCGCGTGTCCGCTTGTCTCGTCTATGGCCGCATCGCATGCAGTGCAGCAGCTAGGCACTCAGTGCCTGTAGTGTAAAGAAGCGCGGCGCGGGGCGCGGCGTGCGTAATGATACGCAGTTTGTTGTAGAAGTGAAATGAAAGTGCTGTCCTGCGAACAGCTTCTGAAACTGTGTGCTCTGGGTTTGCGTGTTGCTCTGACGTCCCTAGGCCAATTCGCACGAGGGGGTCCGAGGAGAGAAAGGAACGAGGTAACGCGAGGAAGTGAAGAAGGCGAGGACAGGTGAGGTAGTGGCCGAGACGGTCAGGGCAAGCTTCGCACCCGAGCAGACACGTGCGGCGCGGTCCAAATGGGAATCGGTGACTGGTCCACCATGCTCCCGCTAGCGTTTTAAAGACAGCCCAGCGGATGGCTGGAGCTTTCTTTGAAAGGTATTATGATAGCTCCTTCCAGCGGGTTGGTAGGGCTGGGGGGAGCACGATTTCTGGGAGAGCCGGCGAGAGGCGGCGCGCTAGGGTCTCTGCGAACTTGTCGGGGTAGAGGGAGGCGTGGAGGACCGAGGCAAGAGTTCGCTGGACCCTAGAGCGGCGCGCTTCGTTGGTGGCAGCAGTGTGCTCGTCTGCAGCGGCTTGTTGCGCCGAGCGCCAGATGGGCAGTGAAACGTCGCATGGCGGCTGACCGTCGGCGAGGTCTCGCCAGTATTCCAGGCTACCTGGACTTTTCCAAAACACAGGCGAGATCGTGGCCCGAATACGGGCCTGCCCCAAATCCGCCAGAGACAGTTCTGGATTGAGCTGGTCCTGGGCCAGGACGAGAGCGCGATACAGCGGCTTCCAGTCGGGAAACGTGGCAGTGGCGGCGCGCCAGGCAGCTGCGAGTGAAAGCGTGACCAGTGAATTGGGGGAGGACGAGGGCGACCACGAGCGAGTACCGAGGAGGTCGACGAGGCGCCAGGAGTTGGGGGGTGCACGTAAAATTTTGCGCAGCGCGCAGCGTTCGTGCCGCAGAAATGTGGCAGGGAACGGGAAATATTGCGTGAGATACGATAGCACAGTTATAACACATGTGTTATATAACTTGATGGCAGCTGAGGGACCAGGTGCGCTCGCCGCAAGCTGCGCCACCCGTCGCCAGTATTTGTCGAATGCGGCCTTCCATTGGATGTCTAGAGTGTGACGGCGGGACCGATGAGTACCCCTAGATAGCGGGCGTACTCGGCAATTTGAATGTGTTGCCACTCTGGGACTAGAAATTTGAGCAAGCGCTGAGTGAGGGATTGCACGGCAGGTGAGAAGGCGGCCCACAAGGGCACAATCACTGTCTTCTGAAACTGAAGTTCGAGTCCTGCGAGAGTAGCAATGGCCCGAAAAGGGGGAAGGAGGAAAGGGAGAGTTCCAAGGCGAGCGAGGACAAGGCCCAGATCATCTGCGCAGGCCCCGAGCTTATTAGATCCAGGAAGAATGTTTAAAATCTGGACGAGATGACGGATGGGGGCATCAAACGCAAGGGCCCAGATTGATCCTGAAAGAGGACAGCCCTGAAGCACCCCAGAGCCGATTTCGAACATGTATTGAAGCTGGCCACCGACGCGGGCCCACGCCCCTGGAGAATGGTAAAGCGCACGGATGACATTGAGATACCCTGGGGGAACTCCGTGAGCCGCCAAAGAAGCAAACAGGAATTCCCATCCTAAGGATGGGAAGGCGGCCTTGATATCGAAACTGGCTAAGATGGGAAGGGCATCTAGGGCGGCTGGGGAATGGCCTGCTCTACGGGCTTCAGAATCTAGCGTCAGAACGTGTTGTCCAAAATTACGGCCCTTTTACAAATCCCTGTTGCGTGTCTACCGTTCTCTCTTTGACCATATCCACTAAGCCCATGTTCACGACGTGGGCAATCAGTTTGGCGTCGCAGTTCTTTAGGGAGAGGGGGCGAGTGGCACCTGGAGCACGAAATACGGCGTATTGGTCCTGGGGCTCATCACCTTTTGGAAGAAACGCGAAGACGGAATCGTTGAACTGAAACGGGGCCATTCCTGTTTCGAACATCTGCATCATGAGGTCATATAAGATCTGAGAGGAGCCTGGAGAGGTAGCCCATGCAGCATAAGGTATCTGGTCAGGGCCTGGGGCAGTGTGACGTACCTTACGTAGGGCTCTCTGAAAGTCCTGAAGAGCTGGAACCCGCAGGTCCGCGCAATCGAAGACGGGGAGGTGCTGGGCCAAGTACGACTGGACCGCGTTGGGGTCCACGTTCTTGCTCGAGAAGATGGGCTGCCAGAACTTCTGAAGACCTCCGAAAATGCCCTCGGGTGAGCTGGTGGTGGGGAGGGCTTTGGTGGGTGTCCCCTCTTTCGGAATCCTAAGTCCTGCTAGAACGAGGCGACGACGAAATGGGTTCCAGGCCTGCGCCCGGCGCATGAGCTGCACGGCGGCCTTGCGGCTGCCGGCCTGGTCCATCTGCATCTCGGCGTGGGACTGGAGCTGGCGCTTCGTAGCGATGGCGACGCGTCTGTCATAGTCAGCGGTAACTGCTGCATCCATAAGCTTGATGTATCCGTCTCTGTTGATGAGCTCGGGCCCATTGTCGGTAAGGTGAAAGTGAGCGGCGCCAATGTCCGTCGTGGCCATGAGGAGTGCAGCTGTGTCTGAGTCTTTTCGCCATACCGTCCGAGCAATGGCACGTAGTGTAGTGAGCCTCCCATGCTTCGCCCATCGGCTTTGATCATGTAGGGTGGCTCGCTGTTGAAGATTACGAGTGAGGCGAGCCGCTTCTTTGATGATGAGCTTGTGTTGTTTCCAGGCTCCAGTTGGCGTGAGAGCTGCCGAGGCGATGTTGTCCTTCAGGAAGTTGAAGTGGCGCAGGTACGTGGGGTCGTGGAAGATGAGCGGATCAATGACCTGTTCCTCCTTCTGCGCCGCCGATGCGTTGACCAGCAGCAGGTGCAGGATCGCGTGGTCACTGAGGCCTTTATCTGATAAGGCAGCGCCGTCTTTGTGGATCTTGAGGTGAGCGTCAACATTCATGAGATCGATGCCCGACAGCGATACGAAGATGCGGTCAATGGCGGTGGCCGCTTGTGTGTTGGCCGAGAAGTGCGTGGGCAGGTCGTGCGTAACTTCCGTGAGTGAGGCGAACAATTGGCGCCAACGTGCTTGGTCGCGCTGATACTGTCCATCAGGTGCCATTGGGCGCCAGCGCGCTGATGGATCCTTGAAGTTAAAGGAGGGGACCGCGCTGGTGTTGAAATCGCCCATGGCAATGAATAACCGCTGATGAGGGTTCTGCGCTGTCCATTGACGGGAAGCGTGCCACGCTTCCGTCACTCTATCCATATCCTTAGCCTGCAGGTTGTGATTGTGTACATTCATAATGAGCGTTTCGAAGCCTGTGGTGGGGTTGGCCACATGGAGGACAGCCACCCTCCCGCGTATCACTGGCCAAAGTGAGGTGGAGGTCGTCTTCATCGATGGCGTCGGTACTAAGAAGGCAATGCCGCCCTTGCCGCGGTTGTGAGGGAAGCCACTGAAGAAGACCTGATAGTCGTAGGGAAGCTTGCCGAGGTGTGATTCGAGATCGAGCTGTGTGCTGTGCACCTCTTGGAGAGCGATGAGCGACTGCTTGCGCATGAAGGGAACGAGCTGCCGTAACTTTCCCCAGCGCTTGGCATCATCATGACAGAGTAGCCCGCGAGCGTTCCAACAGATGTAGCTGCCTGCCGTATCAGCTGTAGAAGGGCGTGTGCGTGTACGTGTAGTCCGTGACCGACAGTTGTTGAATGACGAGCTGGAGTCCGACGAGGATGAAGAAGCGCTAGAAGAGGACGGTGACGAAGAAGCCGAAGATGAGCTGAAAGTTGAGGCCGAGCCATTCTGACTCATATCTATGTTGAGAATGTGATCTTGTTCGGGAAGAAGTAGAGCTTGCGCGGGATGAGGCAGATCATGCTGCGGAAGTAGCGAATCTGGTGGGCACTCCAGGCCCGAGAAATCTGAAATAACATCTGAATGGCTCTCCTGTCCCTTGGGGACACCAGGGGCGTCCCAATCCCCATGTGCCTGTCGTCGCGGTGCAGGTAGATCTGCTGGTGCTCTATGATGCTGAGGATCTGATCTGGGTTCCTGTGGCGCACATTCAGGCTGAAGAGGAGCTTGCGCAGCTTCGGGGCAAGGAAGCTGGAGGTCAGGAGCTGGCCGAAGGTGCTGTAGAGGATGAGGCCGATGTCCTCGTGGTGCTTCAAACCCAGGAGGTCTAGCATGGTCTCCGTCTGTGGTCGTGGTTCTCCATGGAGACCAGCGTTTGTTAAAGCCATTGTACTGTGTCCTCAGCTTTGTAGAGAGCGGCAAATTCTGCAGCGATGGTGGCTTTGTTGATAGGAACCTTGGCCAACGCATCTTGATTCCAACGAATGACCGTTGCCGCGTCCATGCCAGTGAGCTCCAGTTTGGCGGTGGGGATGGTGTTGCAGAAAATGCGCCCTTGATCACGACGCGCGCGCCAATTGTGCGTGGGGTAGTGGGCCTGACAAAGAGCGAGTAGCTTTTTAGTTTGAGTTTCCATTCTGATGCGCTTGATGTTCTTATCGGGGTTGACGTAGAGCGGGACGTACTGGCCGTGGTTGGTGACGCAGTTGGTGGGGGTCTGAACTGTGAACTTTCTGTAACCTCCTCGTCCTGGAAGCTGAAGGGCACGCGCGAGCGCAATGGATTTGGTAATGGCGACAGATCGTCCGCCCAGAAGCTGAAGCATGTAGCGCCGATTGGGTCCTTCACCGTGAATCTGGAACTGCTGCGGGGCCACTTCTGCTGCATCCAACCATTCTGTGATGGACGTGCGAACTGCGGCAGCGTCGACGGGCTGCGCGGAGGAGAGAATGTAGATGGTGGGATCGGGCTCGCGATCCCAGTCTGAGAGCTTGGCCATGTCCAGGATGGGAGCATCGGCTTCGCCCAGGCTGAGCTGCTGATTGATACGCTGGATGGCACTCCAGACTTCCTTATGTTGTGATTATTGTTTGGCGTGAGCGATCTTGATAGCCATGAGGTCTTGTTCTTGCCCATCCAATCTGCGAGTGGTAGCTGCTTCGTGTCGCTGTAGAGCGGCAATGAACTGCGCTTGCGAGGCGGATACTGTTTCTCCAACTGCGGTATTGATTGCTGCCACTTGTGATGCCATGATCTGCTTGAGCTCGCGGTGAATGTCTGGGTCCAACGTTGATTGAGACCACGGTCCGCCTGCTGGCGTGGCGGTGCCTTCTGCTGCATGAGCTGGGGCGGCAGGAAGCTGTGCGGCGGGTAGCTGTGCGGCTTCGTGGGTGTCGCGTGCGGTTGGAGCTTCATGGTGTTCACGTGCTTGTCGTTCTTGCTGTGCGTGTTGATGAGCTTGCCAGTGAGCTTGTTCTTGAGAGGGAAAAGTAGGTGCTGCATCGAGTTCTTCCAGTGCTGCTCGCTGCCATGCGTCTTGCGTGGCTGCTGAATGAAATCCACGAGGGGCGCCGTTAGCTTCACGTTCGAGAGGGCCTTTAGAGCGCCCGCTGTGTCCTTTGTGCGGCGGGCGTGAACCTTCAGATGAAGAAGTGCGTTGGCGTCGATCCTTATCACGTCGGCGATGTCGATCACGGTCGCGGTCTCTATCTCTGTCGCGCCTTTCTGAATGTCTGCGGCGATCCCGACGGTGTCCACTGGCCTGACTTCTGCTCTTGGAGTCACTTCGTGAAGAAGCCGAGGCGGAGTCCATACGGAAGTGTGGTACAGCACTATGCCACGTGTTGCCTGTCCGATGCCAAGCGAGAGAAGAGCCAATCCAAATACCTGCAATCGAATTAGTTGAATTAGTAATTGTGTGACGGTGAGCTTCGTCTTGCGAATATGGAACGGAGCCGTGGGCTGGGCGGCCTCACGGTCCAGTGAGTTATGGAATGGAACCGAGCTGAACGGCCAGCTGCCATGGGAAATGTTTTACTGGAGCCAAAATGGCTTGAGCCAAAATGGCTTGAGCCAAAATGGCTTGAGCCAAAATGGCTACGGAGGAGAAGGAGAAGGAGAAGGAGAAACAGAGGAGAAGGAGAAGGAGAAAAAGAGGAAGGCGGAGGAAGAGGAGGGAGAGTATTTTGATGAGGATGAGGAGGAGGCGGAGGAAGAGGAGGAGGAGAAGAACCAGAGTGAACCCAACATGCACCAACGATGCTGCAACACGCCTTCCTATCCAAAATCCCCTCCTCATACGACCCGGCAAACGTTCCTCTCATGTCAAGGAACGCCCCCCCCACCCCCCTGAAAGACCAGCACGATACGGGCATGCCGTTTAGGCGAGGGGCCCGCGTTGAGAAGAAGCCGCATTGCATCTTGCATCCCCCCGGCGCGTGATTAGGAATGCGAGAACTGCATGGCCCTGCAGTTCAACGAGGCCTCCAGCGCAGTCCCCCTGCCGACGCAGAGCACCTGCTGCGCAGGCTTCTGCCTGCTGAACTTCGAAGGCGCCTCCAGCGAGAGCTCCGCTCTGGCACGGCACCGCCCTCGGCCCGTCCAGTGCCGCACGTGTCGGAGCTTCGGGCCTTGCAAGCTCCGGAGATCGCACGCGACGGCCCCCCAACCTGGAAGCAGACCCGCCCTCGGCAGTCCTGCATGCTGCGGGCTGCGAATCCACACGCGAGAGCTCAGGCTTGACAACGGCGCGAGCTCCATCATCGCAACTCCTGCGACCAGTCGAGGGATGCGCGTGCGCGGCGCTACCCTCGAGGGATGGACAAAAAAACGGCCCTACCCTGGGATACAAGTGCGTGGTCTGTAAACCACCTGGCAAACCCCAAAGCCTAGAGCCGCCAGGACGCGGCACGTCACGCAGGGTTTACCCTGTCAGCCCACAGGAGTTTCAGCACACAGCGCCTCGTAAACCAGGGTAGGGGCGTTTTTTTTTCTGCCCTTGATTTCAAGCTTTTAGAAGGAATGCGCGCGGAGTCGGGTGAGTATCATTCTTGAGAACCACGCCCATCCATCCCTGAACCTGCTGCAAACTAAAAACATTCGAATGTTTGCACCGCTGACGCGAGAGAGCCGCATCTTGCAGAGGGGGGCGCCCCCAATCCGTGAAGCCGCATTCCAGACTTTTGACACGAATGCGCGCGGCACCACGGCGAGACCCTCCTCTTGAAAACGACCCCCCCCCCTCCTCCTCCTCCTCCTCCTCCTCCTCCTCCTCTTCCTCCTCCTCCTCCTCCTCTCTCCCTCCTCCTCCTCCCTCCTCCTCTTCCTTTCTCCTCCTCCTCCTCCTCCTCCTCTTCCTCCTCTTCCTCTTCCTCCTCGTCCTCCTCCTCCTCCTCCTCCTCCTCCTCCTCCTCCTCCTCCTCCTCCTCCGTCGACACCCCACGCTCCATCCTCGAAGCTGCTGCGCTGCAAACTCTCAGGGCGCATGGCCGCGGCGCTGGTGGCGGGAGCCCCCGTCTGAAAGCTGCCCGCCCGCCATCCTCGAAGCCGCTGCGGGCTCCAAGCTTCAGCATCAGAACTTTTGAAGGGGCCCTGGGACATACAAATGAATACACACAAATAAAAAGATGCCCCATCTTTTCCCAGATGTTCTGGGTTTTGCCGCTGCGGGCTCCAAGCTTCAGGATCAGAACTTCGGACGCCCGAAATTCTAACAATTTCGGGCGTCCAAATTTCGGGCACAACATGCTCAGCGTTGTTGGGAAGTCGGGCGTCCAGTACAGAATGCCGAGACTGTTGGGGAAAGACTGTTTCGTACAGCAGATCTACGGAAAATGGGTACAATGCCCAACAGTACATGTTGTCACAAACCAACAGCGGCCGCTGTTGGGCAGACGGTCTTCTGTCTTACATGGGCACAGGCCGCGGCGGCGCGGACAGCGAGTCTTCTCCAAAATGAACAGGAACTGTTGTTGGGCATTGTACCGATTCTTTCCGTACCCATTTCGGTCGTCCCAACGACACGGTGAGGACGTCTTGGGCGAAACGCCCGGCCCGCCCTGGGGTTGCGACAGGGAGGCAACAGGACAGGGAGCGGATACGAAAGAGGCGAAGCGGGCAAGCGGGAGGGGCAGAAGGGCTGGGGAGGGGGCAGGGAGAATAATTATGAGGAGGCGGCAGAGGACACAGGGGACAGAGGCGGACACCCCTAGGACCGGCGCCTGCCAAGCCCGAGGCAGCCTCCACCCGCACGACGCGGACGTCGTCGATGCTGGGGCACGACGTCCCCCCGGCGTACACGTAGATGCGCGCGGCGGGGCCCATGGCCGAGCAGCCCCGAGCTCGCACCCGACGGACCACCCGGGTCGCCCGACCTCGCGCTCGAGCGCCGCGCTGGACGCGCGAGAACCGCGGGGACCTGTGTTTCTGCGCCGCGGCGCTCTCGCGCAGCTCCCCGGAGGGCTTGGAGCTACGACACTTTTTTTCTGGCTGGCGGCTCCCTGGCGAAGGTCGAGAAGCGGGGCAACTACGAACGGGGCGCGAACGAAGCTGATTGGCCGCAGTGGCATATGCACGTGCGAAGGACAAAAGGACCCAAATTGGCGCCAAAAGGCCAGCGTAGACGTCCTGGCGATTGGAGACACCACGACGCGGCGACCAGACCGGGCCACGAAACGCGGAGCGCGGCCATTTTCGCGCCACTGCAGGCAGCCCTCAGGGGCAACGCTCGGGGGGGGGCTGGCATAAGGGGGGGGGTGGGAAACATCGACCTGACATCGGCAACACATCGCCGAGAGTGAATCCGCACGTCCCTGCGCAGGTCGGCGCTATCGGGCCCAACATCGGCGATCAATGGGCGATTGGGGGTCGATGCGCCCCCCCCTAACTTCTGCCTATACCCCCCTAACGTTGCCCCTGAAATCCAAACCACAGAGATGGAAGGGTCCTGCCCCAGAAGGGCTTCCACACCGGGCCCCCCCCCGAAACAAAAACAAACTCGCCTGGGCACACGTGACGGAAACCCTGGAAATCCAGAGCTTGAACAGGTTGTCATCTCTCGGGAGGTCGACCTTTGCTTCCGCCGCCTTCCGCCGGCCTCCGCCGGCGGAGGCGGCCTCGTTTATCTCCTCTTTTCCAGGTCACTGCGCCCAAGCACTCTCAATCGGACGCCTCGTGTGGGGTATGCTGACACCTACCGACATCGGCGCACGATGTGCTTCTTCACATTGTGGGGTGGACCCTGGACGGGGGGCGCGCAAGGAGCCTAGACTTAGGTCGGGCATATGTGCCTACAGGCGGATCCTGGACGAAACATAAAACATGGCCGAACAAAAACACTCACATGGCCAAACATGGCGAAACAATCGTCCTGCAGAGGGACAGCGCCCGACTTCACCCCAGGCGGGGGTCGGGGATCTGCTGACCCGGGTCAATCCAGACCCGGGTCAGCAGGAAACCCAAAACTGCAGTGCAAGAAAAACAACTGCAACGCAGGTCTTCGCAAACCCGGGTCCGCCCCTAGGCGCGGCCGCCTCGCGGCCACGAGCGGCTCGCGGACCCGGGTCAGCCAGAGGGGGTCTTCGCGGGATCCTGCAGGATCCGGCGCCCTGGCTGACCCCCGTCTGCGCTGACCCCCGCCTCGAGGCTCCCGAGGGGGGGGGGCGCGCCAGGGGGCCGGGGCGGCCGAGGACCCCCTGCGCGCTCGACCGCCCCCTCCGCCGAGGAGCTCGCTGCCCGAGGCCCTCGGGCTCCTCGGGCGCGCGAGGCCCGCCCGCTTGCCGAGGGGGGGGAGGCGCTGTCCTCTCGCCCCGTTCTCGGGCGGGCGCCGGCCGGCGAGCGCCCGCGGGGTGCCGAGCGCCCCCCGGCCGGGCAGCGAGAACCGGCCATCGCTTGGGCGTCCACTTCCCTGCGCTGCTTTTTTTGTTGTTTCGGCCTCGCGCGCGGCCGCTACTTTTTTTTCGCGGGGCGATCCAGGGGTGCTCCTGGAAAATTACTCCCCGCCGAGGAGAAGTGCACAGGTCCGAGCGATGACCTCCTCCTCCTGTTCCTCCCTCTCCTCCGTCCTCCTCCTGCTCCTCCTTTTCCCTTTCGTCCTCCTCCTCCTCCTCCTCCTCCTCCTCCTCCTCCTCCTCTTCCTCCTCCCCCTCCTCCTCTTCCTCCCCCTCAGGGCAAGGGAAGAACGCGGAAAGGAGCGCGTTCCCCCCCCCCCTCTCTCGGGCGCGGGCCGCGGAGCGGACGGCCCGCCTCCCGCGCTCCCGCGGGCGGCCTGCGGCCGAGGCACTGCCCAGCAGGTCGGGCGTGGCCCTCCCCCTGGCGGCTGCTCCCGGAGGAGCAGGCGAACAGCTGGCCGAAACGTGTGCAAAAGGAGTCAAACGCGGTCGAGCAATCGTCCCCATACGACTCCTTGGCTGTTTGTTGAAGCTGCCTCCTGTGGAGGGACGGGCCCGACTCGATGGCACCAGAGGGAGCGCTAGGTGTCTCGGCGGCGAGCCCGACGGTGGAAGTGAGCCAAAGGGCGGGCCTTCCGAGAAGGCTCGGAAGTGCCCCGGCCTTCCGAGAAGAAGCACGCACTTGCATACGGAGGCTCTGTGAGCAGAATCGGAGGCTCGCTCGGAGTTCCTGGGTCTGAGCTGGACGCCCCCTCCCAGGCGCGCGGAGCGCGTCGGGGGCGGCGCTGGAGGCGCCGCCAAGGAGGCCCAACACCGATGCAAGACATGCGCGCGAACCTGTGAAAAATTGCGACGGCGGCGGAAGTGAGAAGCGGGGCGGGCCTTCTCAGAAGGCTCGGAAGTCCCCCAGCCTTCTGAGACGTTTCCTAAGCCTTCCCCGAAGACACGAGAAACTGATCGGAAGGCGTCTTGGCTGTGGGGCCAGATGGACGTTACGAGCGGCGAGCGTGTCCATAGCCGCGCCCTCGCGGTCTGGATACCTGGGCGCGATCCCGCGGATACGCGGTCGCGTTTCGCAGGGGGCATCCGCGCCTGACAAGAAAAACTCAAGACAGCTGAGCCCCCCCCCCCCCTCCAGGCTCGCATAGGCCGCATAGGGTCACTCAATGTTCAGATGAGTTCTTGGGAGACCCGGGGCAGAGCAGCCATTCCAGTGCAAACACTTCACCTGGTGGAGTCGAGTCGAATTGGGTGCTGCTCGATGGCTTCAAACTCGAAAGGCCCGACCAACTCCCACAAGCCCAGAGTCGGGTCACCATCGTCGCTGGCACTGGCGCGCAAGACGTGGCTCTCGTCGAGCACAGTAATGCCAAGTGGCGACTGCACCTCCAAATGTACCGTGCCCGAGCGGTCCAGCTTGCTTGCAAAGAAGCCGTCGATCGAGGAGAAACTCACAGAGTAATTAAAACCAGGGGTCGTCGCGATGTCCTGACAACAGAAGAAGCACAAACTGCATAAACAGGAACTTTCGGAGGTTCGCTCGGAGTTCTTGGGTCTGAGCTGGACCCCCCTCCCTGGCGCGCGGAGCGCGCCATGGGGCGGCGCTGGAGGCGCCGCCAAGAAGGCCCAACGCCGATCCGAGACATGCGCGCGAACCTGTGAAAGTTTGTGTCGGCGGCGGAAGTGAGAAGGGGCGGGCCTTCTCAGAAGGCTCGGAAGTCCCCCAGCCTTCTGAGGAAGTTCTAAGCCTCTCCCGAAGACGCAGAACACTTCTCTCAGACGGCGCGAGGGCTTCTGAGAAGCCCCGCCGTCTTCTGAGAAGTCCTTCTCATATCCCCTCCCTCGCTCGCCGCTGGTCTATGTTTATGCCGGTGTTCTTCTTCGAGATAAATGCCGCCGCGGTTGCCCGAGAAGCAGTGGGCCTTGATGTGCCAGACGATGCTGTTGGCGAGGCCGTTCTTGACGGCGGCTCCGGCCCACGGTCCGAAGTGCGAGCAACTGGCGCCCTCGACGTCCTGGTGGCCGAGGTAGTGCACGTCCGGGCACAGGTCGGTCCAGCCGTGCCTGTCTTCCTCGGGGCGCCAATGCCAGTAGGCACCTGCGAGATGGAATAACTTGCCACGCGAAACCCGAGAGCTTTCCGAAGAAGCCCCCAGAGACAACCCTCTGACCCACGTCAGCGTCGTCGTCGTCGCCGCCGGTATCGCCGGCGTCACCCTTCAGGGTCGGATGCAGCGGCCGTAAGGCCTTCGCAGTCTTGCCATGCGAAATCTGGGGTACGTCAGTAGTCGATCTGATCTGCATCGGTCGCCCCGAATCGCCGCCCGCTGGAGCAGCCTCTCTTTGGGTGACCCAGAAGGGTGTCCAGCTGAAAGGGGGTGGTGCAATAGATTTGGGGCAATTGTATTGCACATGTAATGCGCCGGAGAATTCTACTGCATTGTATTGCAAGTAGTGCATCGCACGCGAAAACCCAGCATTACATCTGCGCCCCGGAATGTAGTGCACGCCCCAACTGTACTGCAACCCCACAGATCTAGTGCACCAAATCCATTGCACCACCCCCTCGTCGCTGGACCCCCTTTTGGGTCCACCCGATCCTCTGCCTCACCGCCGACGGGGCAAAGGTGTCGTCGATCCGTGAGCCACCCGCAGTGCCCCAGGGATTCTGCCCTGACCTTCCAGGAAGGCTAAAAAATAGCACCCGACTTAAAAACCTATCCCAAAGATATTCTACGTCTTGGTTTTAGGCTGTCCCGCTCAGCTTTTTAGGTTTTTAGGTCTCCAGTGCTAAAAAATAGCTCTCTGGAAGGTCAGGGTGGGAGCCCACGGGGCCATCGCCAGGGAACAGAAGCTTCCTTTCGGGGCACCTGCCAGCGCCCCGGCGTGCTCACTCGGCGTGCCCACCGTGGTGGGCTCCCACCGTATCCTCTGGGCTCTCGCAGGTCTCCGTCGCAAGAGGACTTTGACCGCTGGAGCACTGCCGCCCCCCCCGCTGCATGACGCGTGCGTGCTCGCATTCGGCTTGCACCGCGGAACGGAGCAGTCGGCGATCCCCTGCGTTAACGCTCGTCAACACGTGGCGGGGCTAATGATGCCCACGCCCGCAGATCCCCGCCGCCGTGCTGTTGTTCAGCGCATGGGGACGCTGAGCTTTCGCAACGCACGCGTGAATTTCGAGCCGTGGGGTTGCTCATGTGTGGCGCTTTGGGCCCAGAGTGCGTCTCCAGATGCTCAGACACGGCAAAGATTGCCGTGATGAGTTTTGCGGGCATCGGGGAACTGGACACGGTCCCCAACTTCTCCCTTGGACGCCCGAAATGGGTACGGAAAGAACGGGTACAATGCCCAACAGCACATGTTGTCCCAAACCAACAGCGGCCGCTGTTGGGCAGGCGGCCTCCTGTCTCGAACGGTCAAAGGCCGCGGCGGCGCGGACAGCGAGTCCTGTTCGAAATGAACAAGATCCGCTGTTGGGCATTGTAAGTACTCATTCTTTCCGTACCCATCTCGCTCGTGCAGACGACTTTCTCGCGTCGACCTGTCTCTCACGTCGTGGGCCCGGGGCCCTCGACCCCCATGGCGCTGCTCCCACCCGCTGCGGGCCGCCCCTCGACACGGCCCCCGGGGGCCCGACACCGCCCCTCCCAGGAGTCAACACTCCAAGGAAAAGCTGCCCGTCCTCCCCTCCTCCCCCCCTCCCTCCGCTTGCCATCGCCCTGGCCCGCTGGCGTCCATTCCTTGTGCATTTTTCGGTTCCGTGCGTCTTTCGTTCAGATGTAGGGAACCGAACTCTGTACACCGACGCTTTTTCCGGCCCTGCACTGAAGCTCGCACAAGAAGGCGGATCCTGGTGTGTACGGGATGCTGGTGTATACATGTTCGTCATTTCCCCAGGAAAACGGGGAAACAACTATACACTACACCACACCGACGTCGCCCCTGGCCCTGAACAAGTCCAGGGATTGGAAAACAGCACGCCGCTGGTAATGTATATGCTTCAGTTTCCGAAGATGGTCCCAACATGCTTCTCGATGGCCCTCGCCGAGACAATATATGCTGCACACGTCCGAGCGATGCCAAGTTCGAACCCCTTCCGCGACGGCTGGCGCTTTTTCCTGTGGGCTTTGGGCATGAGACCCTCGAATCGAATCGATAAGTCGAATCGGCGATCGACATGAATCGGATCGGCGGAGATCGGCAGCCAAGTCGGGAGGAGTCGAATCGGCGGAAGTCGGCAGTGTTGTGAGCAGTGGGGCCTCATGGAGAAATCGGAATCCAGATCGGAATCCGAAATCGAACCCAATTGGAACTGGAATCGGAACAGATCGAGGTCGAGTCGAACCGAGCTGGAGGAATCGAAGCGAGCCCTTTGCTTTGGGTGGGCCGGGGCTCCTCCATGCCCCCGTTCGCCACGAGGTTGGTCCCCGCGGGCGGCACCCCGGGAGCCGCGGCGGCACCCGGCTCGACAGCGGCACGGCGTGCTCCCGCGCCGTCGCGGCCGCCGCTGGCCCCTGGCCGCCGTGTGAGAATGGGGCCTCCTCCTCCTCCTCCTCCTCCTCTGCTTCCTCCTTCTCATCCCTCCTCCTCCTCCTCCTCCTCCTCCTCCTCCTCCTCCTCTTTCTCCTTCCTCCTCCTCGTCTTCCTCCTCCTCCTCCTCCTCCTTCTCCTTCCCCCTTCTCCTCCTCGTTACTCCTTCCCCCTCCTCCTCCTTCGCCGTCCTCCCCCTCCTCCTTCGCCGTCCTCCCCCTCCTCCTCCTCCTCCTCCTCCTCCTCCTCCTCCTTCCCTGTTTTTCCTCCTCCTCCTCCTCCTCCTCCTTCCTCCTCCTCCTTCTTCTCCTCTCCCTGCTCACCCTCCTCTTTTTCAGAGAGCCCCCCTCCCCAGGCATCCAACCCATGGGGCGCATGGGTGGGCCCCCTGTGCGTGTAACTATCGGTGCGGACCCTTGCTCCAGACGTGCTCCAGACGACAAACTGTTGGGGTGCCTAACTACATGACTACAATGAGGGGAGCGTTGCGGGGACCATCGCATCTGACCGTGGAGACAGAAACCCTAACGGGACTATACCATCTGACCCGACAACGAGCAAGCGCATCCTCCAGTGGCCCTATCACCAACCATCTGACCGCACAGGGTTCGATCCTTCACTATGCTCTGTCATCAGTTCACAGATGCGGAATTGCAGAAGGGGCCGATTCATCCGAACACGAGGGAGAAACTCATGTGGGCCTAGCATCTGACACTCGATAAAGAAGCTGATTGGGAAGCCCATCATCTGGCCATAAATTTAGACTGCGCTTGGAGGTCCAATCATCTGACCTATGAATCAAGAAACGCGTTGAGTCAAAATCCTTGACAGCTAGTTGCGAGATCCTCATGAGCAGGGGGCCCTACCACATGCCCGCAAGTAAGGAAATCCTCAGGGGTATCCAATTAGCTTGCCGTGTGCTTCGCTACGTGTGGTAATGTTCAATGTATGTGTAGACTGCGTTGAAGTACGCGGCAGGCAAGCAACAATACACGCGTACACATGCAACTATATCCACACACATAGAAGCACAGCTGCATCGGCACCTAATCTGTATACACCAATGACAAGAAATATGCATCGATAGACAGAAGGGAGATCTGAAAGGCTCATGAATCTGTCGGGCATTGACAGGACCAAATTTAGTGGGACCTGGTGTCGTGATGTGTGCTTGGGGATGCCTCCCCCGCCACATTCCACTAACGGGAACTGCCGTCACCCACAACCGCACAAGCTACGCCAGACCTGGTTCAGTGTTTCTGGCACCTGTGTTGGCTTCGAGGCTTTACCACTAACTGGCTCGCCTAACCCAGGACCCCGCCGATGCCAGATTCTGATCGCACCTCACGACGCGGGCCCGGGGCTCTCGACTCCATCCCCAGGGTTTACACTTCCGCCTCGGGTCGTCTCTTGAAGGCCCCAGGGCCCACATCGGACCTCTGGAGGCCCAGGCTGAGGCACAACTGCTCCTCATGTCCTTTGCCATCGCGACGCCCCGGCGTTCTGGGGAGGCAGAGCGGGCCCAGCCACGACGCCGGGGCCAGCCTCGTGGGCACGCTTGGGAGGACGCGGGCCCGAGCCGATGCAGGAAGCGGGGCGCCCCCCCTGCCACCGCCTGCGCAATCCCGCACCAAAGCGGCGCTCCCCCTCTAGAGGCCTCCCATATGGGGTCGGAGTAGATGGGGTCGGAGGATCGCGCCGCATCGCGCCGCATCGCCAATGCATCGGCGATGCATCGGCGATGAATCGCCGGTGCATCGCCAACGACGGCAGTGTATCGGCGACGCCGGCGTGGAGAAAATCGGGCCTCAAATCGAGCCGCATCGCCGACGAATCGGCGATGCGGCGCGATCCTCCGACCACATCTGCTCCGACCCCATCTTGGTTTAGGTCGGGCATGTCCTCCTGCAGGCGGGTTTTAGACAAATAATGGGAATAGTTCAACCAATAATGCTAACATATATATATATATATATATGTATAAAAGAATCATCGAAAATCGTCTCCAGACTATTTTTCCACCATTTTTTGATTTCCTGCTTGGATCTTTTCCTGCCGTAGAGGTACAGGCCCGACTGAAATCTAGGTGGCCTAGACCCTCCCCCCCCTCTCTTCTGCCGCGCCCCAGCGCGCAGCCGTGACGCACCCCACGCTGCCGGCGCCGCCGGCTCGGAGCTGGGGCCCCGAGGGATGGGGCCCCCCCGAGGACAGGGGAGGGCCCCGAGATGAAGCTCCGGGCCGCTCGTCTTTCGGGCCCCACCGCTTAGGGCCGCACCGAGGGGCAACGGTAAGGTTAAGTCGGGCGTGTCCCCCTGCAGGGGGATTTTCGACGAAAAATAAATTACGCTACCGAGGAACCCCACATACCTATTTTATTTCCCATGTGTACCATCGGTGCTTCTGCTGCTGCTCCTCCTTCTCCTCTTCGGTGTCCTCCTCCTGCTGCTGCTTCTGCTGCTGCGTCTGCTGCTGCAGCTGCTGCTGCTGCCGCTGCTGCTGCCCCACCTCCCCGTCCTGCGCACGCAGTAAGCGCTCATGGGATCCGACCCCCACGAACGCCCGACCTGGATGGGGCATTGCCCACCCCGCGACCGCCTGGAGCTAGCGGCCGCAGCGCCGACGGGGCCCGAGGAGGAGGAAAGGACGAGGAGGAGGAGGGGGGAAGAGAAGAGGCGCCGGCCTCACACGTGCTGCCCGCCTACTCGCTGAGCAGCACTGACCACCGGAGGTGGCCAGCCCCCATGCCTCCCTGGCTCTTCCTGCACCAGGGGACACAAGCTACCCCACGTCACCGTGCGGGGCACACGGCGCGTGTTTCCGCACATGGGTAGCCAGGCCCGCCCCCACAGGCCCCCTTGCCCAAGGGGGGCCAGGCGGTACACGTCTTGAGCCGCACTCCCGAAGGAGCCGACCCCCCTGGTCACACCCGACACCCCGACGTCAGGGGCGGGTCCCAACAGTGACCAGAGCCAGCCCCCGCGCAGGCTGGTACCACGCGGGCCGACGCGGACTGGAAAACCAGCCCGCGCCAGCCCTGGGGGGTTACCCACGCGGCCCTAGAACGTCGGGTCCCCGGGGGACCTGAGACGGCAGACCGACTCCCAACGGGGACCGCCCAGCGGAGTCGGGGGGCCGCCCCAGGCCCGCCAGGGCACCAACGCCCCAGGGCCACGGCGCCGCAAGCGACGACATGGCGGATTGCAGTTCCCCCAGGGGCCCACATGCGCCGCCCCGCGCCGAGGTCACCCCCTGGGGGCCCCCACCTCCCCGTCCTCCTTCTCCTCCTCCTCCTCCTTCTCCTCCTCCTCCTCCTCCTCCTCCTCCTCCTCGTCCTCCTCCTCCTCCTCCTCCTCCTCCTCCTCCTCCTCCTTCCTCCTCCTCCTCCTCCTCCTCAGCTCCTCCTCCTACCTCCCAGCGCACTCCCTGTGGCGTCGAGGAAATGCCACGCCTGCCACGCCCTGGGAGCCTACAACGCATAGGGCCCCCACCTCCCAGCGCACCCCCTGTGGCGTCGAGGAAATGCCACGCCTGCCACGCCCTGGGAGCCTACAACGCATAGGGCCCCCACCCGGGGCCAGGGTTTTCCCAAACCAAATGGGTCTTCCCAAACCAAATGTTGCGGAGTCAGACCGCCGGGTCTTCCCAAACCAAGCCCAGGTCTTCCCAAACCAAACGGGTCTTCCCAAACCAACGCCCCCAGGTCTTCCCAAACCAACCGGGTCTTCCCAAACAAACTCTCCGGGTCTTCCCAAACCAACCGGGTCTTCCCAAACCAACATCCGGGTCTTCCCGATACAACCGGGCTTTCCCAAACCAACTCCCCGGGTCTTCCCAAACCAAACGGGCTTTCCCAAACCAACCGGGTCTTCCCAAACCAACCTCCGGGTCTTCCAAACCAGCCGGGTCTTCCAAAACAAATCCCCGGGTCTTCCCAAACCAAACGGGTCTTCCTAATCCAACCGGGTTTTCCCAAACCAACTTCCGGTCGTCCCAGACCAACCGGGTCTTCCCAAACCAATTCTCCAGGTCTTCCCAAACCAACCGGGTCTTCCCAAACCAACTCTCCGGCTTTTCCTAAACCAAACGGGTCTTCCCAAATTGGCCACGTCGACGGGGCAGCGACCGCAGCCCAAGCGTTCAAGGCTTAAGCATAATTAACCCAGTGCGACCCTACCTAGGAGTTGGGGCCTCTAGGAAAGCAACATTAGTAGGAGCGGTAAACACCGTCCTCCTCCTTCTCCTCATCGTCGTAGTTGTAGCAGTAGCGGTAGTAGTAGTAGTAGTAGTAGTAGTAGTAGTAGTAGTAGTAGTAGTAGTAGTAGTAGTAGTAGTAGTAGTAGTAGTAGTAGTAGTAGTAGTAGTAGTAGTAGTAGTAGTAGTAGTAGTAGTAGTTAAGTAGTAGTAGTAGTAGTAGTAGTAGTAGTAGTAGTAGTAGTAGTAGTAGTAGTAGTAGTAGTAGTAGTAGTAGTAGTAGTAATAGTAGTAATGGTAGTAGTAGTAGTAGTAGTAGTAGTAGTAGTAGTAGTAGTAGTGGTAGTGTAGTAGTAGTAATAGTGGTTGTAGTAGTAGTAGTAGTACTAGTAGTACTTTAGTGGAGTACTGTAGTAGTAGTAGCAGTAGCAGTAGCCGTAGTAGTAGTAGTAGTCGTAGTAGTAGTTCTAGTAGTAGTAGTAGAGTAGGAGTAGTAGTAGTAGTAGTAGTAGTAGGAGTGGTAGTAGTACGTATAGTAGTAGTACTAGTAGTGTAGTAGTGTAGTAGTAGTAGTAGTAGTAGTAGTAGTAGTGTAGTGGTAGTAGCAGCAGTAGTAGTAGTCGTAGTAGTAGTAGTAGTAGTAGTAGTCGTCGTACGCGTAGTAGTAGACGCAGTCTTAGTAGTAGTCGTAGTCGTAGTCTTAAGTCATAGTAGTAGTAGTTATAGTAGCAGTAATAGTAGTTTAGTAGTAGTAGTAGCAGGTAGTAGTTAGTACTAGTAGTAGTAGTAGCAG